TTTGAAATTGGTACTACTGTGGTGGAGTACTCATCAAGTGACTGTGACAATCTCATGACTACCTGTCAGTTCAGTGTGGTTGTCAGAGGTGCGTATGATGCCCTTTGTGTATTTGATACTTCACTAGTTTATGGCATAGTATACCTACATAAAGATATGAATTTGCGTCAGGAAAATATCATAGAAGTGATGTTTTGGCCTACGTGACTTGTTATCATACCCGCTGCTACTAAGGGTTCGTATTCATCACAGTCATCAAGTGCAAGACTTCAGGCTACCTGGAGGTCGTGGGTTTGATTCCCACCCGAATTTTTTATCGCTAGTATTTGGGGACGTATGAGTATTCGGTACGATAACACGTTAGGTAGGAGAAAACATCACTGCTGTACCTACATATTTTTCAATCTAACTTTGTCACTATAGACAATATTTCAATATTTAAAAATTGTACTATTCAGTTTTTTACCAGATTTAATCGAATAATATGAAAAAAGTTACTCTGATCCACTGAGTATAAATTGATTTTAATGATAGATTAATGCAAACTAGCTTTTTTTCATTACCGAATGATTGATTGCACAAGATACATTTACAAACGTTTTAGGATAGCAAACGCTATCAGTGTTTAATTTTCTCAATAATTTTAGTTTCTATATTATATAGATACATGTACAAAAGTGGTAAATCAATTCATTTTTTGTTTCAAGAAGTGTTTGTCCATTTTTTAGTGTACCTATATACAGTACATGTGTTATATAATTGTTTTATACACTTTTAGATTGTGACGCCCCTGATTTGACTTGCCCGGATGATTTGGCTCCCCTCGACGCTGATGATAGCTGTCAGGCAAATGTCACCTGGGATGCGGTAACAGCAGACGACAACTACGACAGTGTTGTAGATGTTGACTGTGATTTGAGTCCTGGTACTTTTTCTTTAGGAAATTACACTGTGCAGTGCAGTGCTTCAGATTTGGCAGGCAATACAGGCAACTGTTCTTTCAATTTCTACATTCTTGGTATGTGTTTGCTTTTTCATTCAATTCAACTATATTTTAAATTAATGAATTAAAAAAAAAATGGGATTTGATGATGGTATTAGTAAATATTTACTTAGAATTAAAAGTTTATATTGAAAAAAAACTAAAGTAATTTCAAATGTATGCCTTTAAATAAGTATCTGAAATCCAGGATTTTATTTTGTAATGGTTTTGCCCTCTGGAAGGCATTAATTAATTTGAGCAACTCTTTAAAGTTTTCAATAACTATATTTATTGTTTTTGTACGCTTTATATTATATGTACAGATATGACTCCTCCTGCACTGGTATGCCCAGACAATATTACCGTTCCTAATAATGTAGGTGATGATATGGCAGAAGTGACATGGAACCGTGCGGTTGCAACTGATAACTGCTGTGGAGAAAACATCGATGTGTTCCCTGATATTATGAATGGTAGTACTTTTGACATTGGAACTACCGATGTTACACTTACAGCAATAGACTGCAATGGAAACCAGAATGAATGTGTGTTCAGTATTGAGGTTACAGGTAATTATTTTTTATATTAGTTTTGTATTTTATGAAACTTACTTATAAGAATATTACTTTTATGTGTTCCCGAATACATCTTTGTTGATCGTTAATTTGAAACACAATTTGCCCTGCAGTCTTAGGTTCTAGGGCTTGATAATCCTACTTTCTAAATGTAGACTTTGTTTTTGAGTAATCACTCCTGTTGTTTGGTAAGTAAACTTGCTAATTGATTTGAATTTGAAAAAAATACAGTAGCACCTAAACATTAATCATTTTTGTATTTAACAAAATGGAGTTGAAAATAAAATAGAAATTAAAAAAATAATAATGTAATGTGTAAAGAAAATGGTTTGAGCATTCCCTTGTACAAATAATAATTTGAAGAAAGAATATATGCAATTTTAAATATTCGTAATGGATTGAAATTAAGTAAGACAATAAATAGGTCTACAGTAGTATAAGAATGTTTGATACATAACATTTTATGTGATTTGTGGAAATTATTATGCTAATAAAGATTATTGGTAAAAATTGTACTCAAAAAGAAAGATACTGTATGCATAGTTAAGACAAATGCTTGTATTTTAAATTGAAAGCAGTTCTTGACATATTAAATTGATAAGGATATTATTATTAAGTTTTGGATTTGGTTATGTTACCAAATGTTAAACACCCCTGAGTATAATAAAATTTTCCATCCAAGTATGCTGAATAAAACCGGGCACACATTATGTCGTAGACCACTGAGTGATAAATCCATTTCCACTCTGTATGAGCGCTTGACAGTGCGACATTATCTGCTGATTGTCGGTGGCAGACTATTAGCAGAGTTGCGTCAGCCAACGACTGTTGGGACACAAAAATATCATTGCTAATCATTTTATAAATACTACAAAATATTAGAAATCAGTATTAAGTTAAAATTATTCTTATTATTATCACTATAATCATTATTTGTTATTGAATTACAAATAGTTACAAAAGGTCAAAAATAGAATTCATAATATTTATAAAAAATCATACAAAACATTTATTCAAAACTTGCATTGCTGTACGTATACAGAGTCCTGCAATTTCTGTTGCAGTCTTGGTATTGGTGTATAAAACATATAATTAAAATAAATCCAATTATTTGAACTTGTACCAAAGCACATTTCTTAACAAATTTGCTAGTGATCAAAGTTACTTTCTTCAAACTTGACAGACATGGAACCACCAGATCTTGAATGTCCACCAAGCCAAAATCTAGTAGGTGATAATGATTGTATGGCATCGCCCACTTGGACACAACCTAATGTTACGGACAACTCTGGGGAGATTTTTCTACCAATATGTGACTATAGAAATGGGAGCACATTTTCTGAAATGAACACTACTGTAACATGTAATGCTACTGATGATTACGGCAACATTGGGTACTGTACATTCAACATTATCATTATAGGTGAGTTTAATTATTTCATTTAGTTTATTAATAGAGTCGAAACGATTTTATTTGTAATTTCTGAATTATATATTCTTGATTATGTTAGATGAGCTTGCTCCTATACTGGATTGTCCAGATGACATCATGATGTGCACTGACACAGGGGTTGATTCAATGAATGCCTATTGGTATCCAGCTAATGCAACTGACACCTGTTGTGGTGATACTGAGACAAATGCTAACTACACAAGTGGAGATGAATTTACAGTCGGCGATACCATCGTAGGATATTCAGCAACCGATTGTAATGGGAACACTGGATATTGTCAGTTCATTGTTACAGTAACTGGTAGGGATATTTTTAAAGAATTGAAAAAAACTCATAGATAATGTATAAAAAGGTGTCTTTAGCAGGATTCGAGCCTCTCGCTATGAAGGCGAGTATCATACCATTAGACCAGAAAGACAAAAACCAGGGCACCTTCAAATCAACTGACTCACACACCGTGTAGCTATGGTTATAGATTAGCTTATAGGCTGCAGCTAGGAAATCATAATAAATAATATTTGAATTAGGTTAGCTGCGTAACAATCATAAACACAAAGTAGACAAATGTATGTCAATAACAGTGCTCACATATGATCAATAAATGAGCAATAATAGCATCGTTTACTATTTACATTATTGGTAAGTGATTTGGTAGACATTTTTTAAGTAATCTTTTTCATTTAATGAACTTTATTATATATGAATCATTATCATTGGCTTGGTCTAACAGTTTACTTTATGGATATCGAATACGGCCATTGTTTCTAATGAGGAAAAGCATATTGTTATAGCGTGGTCATGTGGTACCGTAGGAATTATTGTTCTATTTTCTATATGAGGGTGCTCATCTAAGAAGTAATAGTAGTACAGTAGAATTAATCTGTACATATACCATTCAACCTTCATACTGTAGTATTCGGCTTACTTTAGACTTGTCAATTGTTCAAATTATTACACACACACACACACATACCTGTAAACATAATGTCCAGAGGACCCTGACTAAAAACAGTGATCAGAGGACCGAACGAGGACCAGCGAAGTATGCCGAGAACCATAAAAATACGCTCAGGTTTATGCCATGCACACCGCCACGCACATGTGCTCAACGTTTTATGCATAAACGGGTGCTATTTATTTGTGCAAAGCCACTCAAAAATATATAAATATATATGTATGCATATATTGCATGGGACGATACCATTATCAGTCTATTTCGTGAATACTTACCTGGATAACCGACTAATTGCCATTGTTCCCAAAACGGAACACCCCTTCGAAAAAAAATGGGACAGTCCGACCCAAGGCGCCACGTGCGAACCGTCTCCCTAACAAACGTCCTCATTCCCTTTTCGACGTTGTTCGAAGTTGGATACACCCAGCCTTTGAAATTACTAGCAGTCTTTTCAAGCTATTCTGTTCTTATTTTGCCTTTGGATTTATTTTCAACTTGACAAGATATCCTTTGTTTATTGTTGTCTCGATCGGCATGTCCGCTCGCAAGTCTTTGTGCTCGGCGTGTGGGGGCCCTAAGCCGAGTGTTAAGCTCGACCGGCACTCGGAGTGCCCGTTGTGTCGCTCGTGTAGCAAGGCTGAGCCTTGCGAGATTTGTGCGCGCTGGCCCCCGACTAAGTTTGCGGCGGCTCTAGATTGGGCAGCTCAGGCTGCCACTCGATCTCAGGGTTCGCTGCCGGCTGCGTCGGGGGTTGTTGCGGCGCCGGATGACTCGCCTCCACCGCTGGAGGATTCGTCGGCTTCGCGTTCGGCGGGTCCTTCCCCTCCAGGTAAGTATCTCACTCATAGACTACCAACATCACGATTGATTTGTGTATTCCATGCAATCGTATACTAATACTGTTGTTAAGGAAAATGTGTTGTATAATCGAATTCGATCCAACTCGGCCACAAGTCAACTCGGCCACAGTCAACTCGGCCACAAGTCAACTCGGCCACAAGTCAACTCGGCCACAAGTTAACTCGGCCACAAGTCAACTCGGCCACAAAAAGTTT